TAACATTGATGTGGAAAAGTATAAAGGATTAAAAAATATATATATAAATGGGGAATATCGCACTTCTGACAATCGCTGCAACTGTGTGGGCTAAATTTGGAGAATCCGTGCTTCTCGCATGGACAACTGTATGTGGCCAACTCACGCCTCAGAAAACCTTCTGATTTATTCGTGTATGCACCAGACAGAAAAACAAAAAATATTGTGTATCCACAAGCACTCCAATAAATAAATAGAATTGAAATAACACTTTGAAATGTTTTCCCGATGAAAATGAACAATAATAAGTTTCAATAAAAATGATAAAATGTAAATTGAATTTTATCATAATGAGTTTGCTTGAATTTCCTTTCTTCTGAGATCGCAGCAATGCGCGACGGGTAAGCTAGTTTATTATACAGTGTATGGGAGAAGCATTGTTTTCATGAAAAACTTCTTGCAAAGATTTTGATTTACATACAGTATATACTTGAAATACAGTGAATCTCAGTAATGTTATACATAAATTGGCTAACTGGTGAAAAGTTCAGATATCTATTATTATAGCTTTTTAAATGTCATCATAACTTTATTTTTTTTTAATTAATTATATCAGAAAAAGTAATAAAAAACAAAACAACAACAACAATAAGTAACATTGTAATAAAATAAAAATTAGACAGAATGAAAAATATATTCATGACCTAATACAGCTTGATCCTCATGCCAAATAATTGATAAAAGGAAGGAAAACTCACTGAGTGATTCACTTCAACTCACTTTAACAATTTTTTATTATTATTGTTAGTGCTTTTAACAAACTTATGTTCATCTTTCCAAACACTCCAGCAAGTTAATTTAATACTGTAAAAAAATTTTGGCTGTCTTTAATGGTCTTCATCAGTTAAACGTTAAATAATAAACACAACATATGCAAACGCACTTATTATTTTTCATAATTTTAATTTCCTTATGTTCTATTTTCTTCAATGTTCTTTTTATTATTTAACATTTAACTAACGAAGACCATTAAAGACGGCCGAAAATGTTTTTACTGTATTAAATTAACTTGCTGGAGTGTTTGAAAAGGTGGTACTTTTTATAGTTTATTCTATATCCAGTATAATTTATTAAACTTATGTTCATCATCGTTAAGTGAATGGAATGTAAAAATGGAATACAACATTCTAATATGAGTGGAAAACACATTTAAATTAAAATCCATTATGAGCATGCTACAAACTTCGATTACACTCGATTACATTCGATTACACTGGATACTGATGCAATGACCAGAGCACTCAAGAAAGACTGCATTAGAAATACTAGGGCCTGAAATTCTGAGAATGAAATCAACACAACAAACCAACAGCAAGAGAAACCCTGAGATAACTGAAAGGAACCAGTAATAATCATTTGTAACTCACTCCTTTGTAAATTGGTTCAAATCATCATTGCATTAAATATGTAATGGGGAGAATATGAGTCCTCCCCTAGATAGTTAATTAAATCTTTTTTATTTTGATAATTAGAGTGTTTTTGAATAACTCTCCATCAGGACCCACATGTCACTAAATCTTTCACAAAGGTGCATCATAAATTGAAATGAGGTTCACCATCCAGTCATTGTTCAGATCATAGATGATATAAAAATCCAAAAGGGATGGAAAAACCCTACATATAAAAGTATAGCCAATTAACATTGGCCAAAATTATAATAAAAGAAAATTTATTTATATGCCAAAACTTAAACATTTAATAAATTATTGATTAATGTTAAAACTTCTGTGTTAAGTTACAAATTGTTGATAAAACTTTAATTATAAAAAAGTCATAATATATATAAAAAGCATCTAATCAGTATAACCAGCAAACACTAATTTTAAAAATTAACATAATAATTTTTTTCTGTGATGAATGAATACTTACTCACTATAATCCCTATTATTTTCATTTCTCATATCAATATAAAAAGTATTATTAAAAAAGAAGAAACCAGATTTGTATATATCCTGCAACAAGAAATACACTTTTAAGTAAAAAAGAATTTTTTAAATTTAGTATTACATTGGCTGGAAAAACCGTGCATTTTTTTTTACTTCTTCTTCTTCTTCGTGCCATATCAGATTTCTGACGTCGGCGACACCCGGCGCAGATTAGTAAGTAGTTAATAATACGCCAAGGTGTTACTAGGAAAGGTTAGTACCCAGAGTGGTTTCCCGTTGCCTTCTCTGGGGCACGATGTTATGCTAGGGGAAAGAATGCCTTCCGGGAGGACTTTTATGGGGAACTTTCTTTTTTAAATAAATGAAAATACAATGTTTTTGTATTAAAAATTATTTTCATTCAACAAAATAATTTCCATTCATATTTATAACTTTTTTCAATCTCTGAATGCACCTATCTCTTCTTTTATACAGGTCTACTTTTATGCAATTTTGAAATAATGCAGTTGACAAAAGTAAACTAATCCTCTTTTAACTCAATTGATTTTTTTACACAAGGAAAAAACAGTTGCTCTTTTTGTTGAAGGACTGGTTTTAAAATTATACGTTTCTAAATCAAGATTTCATTTACTTTTTTTAAGCATAGTAAAGTACATCACAGAATACTTTTTTATGTTTCCTATACTTTGCATTTACTATATTTACTGTATGTACAAATAATTATAAATTTATATGATGTTAGAATAAAAAATTGCTCATGTTTCTATTGTAAATTGCATATTTTTTCAGTTCATTCAGGTTGTGGATCCTATCAAGCATTTTTCTACAGGATGTATGTACTGTACTTTTTTAATGCTATTTTTTTTGTACATGGTGTTCTTCAGAACATAGACACTGTGCAAAAAAGAGGGATAGATGTATATAAAATTTTTTGAATTTTCTAATATTAATGAACAAATATTTTAAAATGATTTTTGATTTATTTATTTTTATTAAATTTTTCCTATTTAAATATTAAAAAGAAACCAGATAAATACATTATTTGGAAAATAAGAAAAATGGTTTAAGAATTTTCAGTTAAACATCTTTAAATTTTGTTCTATTATCATTGTGATAGAGTATCAAGTGTAACCATAATGAAAATAGTGGGTCTTTTCTATTATTTTAAATCTACAGCATTTACATTCTTTATATAATATTTGAATTATGTTATTGTTTTTAAATAATAAATAATTTTTTCATGCTCTCTCTACATAAACAGATAAATTTTAATTTAAAAAATATTTATCTATCTGAAAAAAACTATATCACTTAGATTTGGTTATTTTTCTCTATACATTACTGTAGTGTTTAATAACCAAAGTGGAAAAATGCACAAATTTTCCAGATAATATATATTAATAATTATTTTAAATACCTTTGCTCTAGTTGATTGAGGAAAATCTGGATTTTCACTAAAATCACCAATTACTGTAAGGTCAGAAACACAATTGATGGAGTCTCTGAGCTCTGTCAATTTCTGACAACCTAATACTTTCACTTGTTGATCCAGCTATAAAAATAATTATTTCATCATAAAAACAAAAATTACATTCATTATATTATATCTAAACATAAGTTGTACCATGTGTTTATCTATAGTAAATGTATATATGTATACAAATATATTTAACATAACATAAATAGCAGCCAAAACAAGAAAATCATTCTACAGTTAAAAAGTTGTAATCTAAACATAAAAAAAAACACTGGATATATTAAAACTTTGCAACTTGATATGTTAGCAGAATAAGTAAAATAATATACATAAATTATAAAAGTTTCATAGTTAATTATATGATGATTATAGTACAGTCGACCCCCCTATAACACAGGTTCCTATAGTTCATATTCCTATATCACAGCGAAAAAATTGCAACAGTATTCGTACAAACATGCTAAAAAAACTCCTATAATTCGGTAAAACATCATTGCTGACTCGTGTTGCAACAGGATTGCACAAACCATTGAGTTTAAACGAGCAGCAGACCTACCAAAAACCATTTATTATTTAATGTCCATACAAATTATATTTATATTAATGATGTCTCCAAAGTTCAGCAAGTTTTTCGCAAAAAAAAATAATTATCAGGAAGCATGCAAGCGCCATTCGATGACAAGTTCCACGACGAAAACAAGCTTAAGCAACGGCGTAGTCGAATGGTGCACACTCGGTAAGTAATCCTACAATTTTTTGTTTTAGCATAGTTTATATGGATTATTCCCAAAAAATTATACGTATTTTGGAAATGTTGAGTCGAATTAGTCTAGAATCAATTAATTTTATGGAAGAAACCTTTCAAACAGCCATAGTCCGTAAACTTTACACATGCCGGGTTGTGATTGGCTGGACTCCTAGAAGCTGGATTCATAAAAACAGGAACGTATCTACCATGTTATAGGGGGTCAACTGTATTATCATCATATAATGAAGCAAAGCCCAAGAAAGTTTCCTTGGGATAAAAGAATCAATAATTATATGAAAATAGTCATGTTAACAAAGTATATCCAACATTCAAATATGTTTAAATGCATTAAATGTAAAAAAATCTAATTTTGCAAGGCATCATCCTTAATGACAACACCCGTCCTTATATCATGTGCATTATGCAGGAATCCCTCACGACTCCTAGATTATTCAGTAGCTTGGTGTCCCTATTCTCTCTCATTGTAAACCTAGGCAACAAAAGCACCAAAATGCCAATTACTAAGGCCAAAACAATCCAATAAATTTCTTCAAAATTTAAGATGTCCATGGTACTCATCACGAACACTAAATATTTTAAATTTTATCCAAATTGGCTCATGGTCTTGAAGATATTGAGTTAAAATTGACACTTTAACATTACATGTATGGCTGAGCCCTACTTATAGTGATATAAAAAAAAAATCATTCCATAAAATTTGTTGCTCATGTTAATATATCTGTTTACAAGTAAAATTATCTGAATAAAAAGGCAATTGCAAGAGTGCAACATTTATTAATTTCAAACAATTAACATTTTCATTATACAAAGACAAGCACATTTGTAATGCTACAATGTAATAATAAATAGAAACAGTTCATTTATATTTCAAGTATAAAATGTAAATGTTTTTCTTTTTAAAGAAAATGGTATTAAATAATACAATCTTACAACATTATCCACTTTTTTAATTCAGATATTTTTCTTCAGATATGTCAACAATATGGATATTAAATTCTAAAGATCAAATTTTTTCTTGAATTAAATTAATCATATATATTTAATTATCTTACTGATATTATCTAATGTTGTAGGCATTATTAATGATATAGTTCTTTAATTTTTTTTAACTTTTTAAGAAAAAATTATGATGGGACAGAATACATCATTTAGTAATGAGGTAACACACAAACTCAACCTATTAGTGTTAATATTCTTAGAAATAATTAATCAATACTTTTTAATAAACTAAAATTTTTAGCATGTGCAAAATATCTTCAGTTATTTTCAATTACTTTTTCTTCAGATTTGAGAAAGTTCAAAGTTAGAAATAAAATACTTTTGATGTTATTAGAGCATATATTCTCTATCCCAATCTCACAACTCTTGAATAATTCAATAAATAGGACAACATATTTATATATACAGTTGTCCCTCTATAGTCCGACGTTTTTTAATCCGACATGCTCAGTAGTCCGACGCACCTCCCGTCAAGTACCCGTCCCCGTTACGTGTCTGCTTGCACAGAAGCATGTCACGATGTGAATCTCCCCATCCAATTCTTACTCGATGACACACATTTCGTGTGTTTTATGTGAGCAGTTCTGTTCGAACAGTTGGAGTAGAGAATATTGTAAGTTACTGCTAGCAAAACAATGCGAAATATGTAATTATTTTCGGTAATCCGGACACTTTTGGTAATCTGACACACCTTTGGTCCCACTATACCTGTCGGATTATCAAGGGACAACTGTATAAGAATGTTAAAATATACAAGAAAACCAAGTTCTTACAATTCTCCTATCTCCAAATATGCATGGTTCTTTTTTAATTTGAAATGTTTTGTTCTAATTTTGAAAGTAATTTTCAAAGATTACATTTTTTTTATATGTTGAAAACGTCAGATTTATTAAAAAATTAACTATTTCTAAGAACATTAACACCAGATGTTTTCAACACATAAAAAAATGAATGCATTTATATTTCAATAATATTTATAAAAAATAATAACCACTTCAATTATCCCCACACATAGTATAACATACAAATAGTGGACACCATCAGGACCATGAAGTTGGTCCACTATTAGGAGGTACCAGTATATGCTAGCAACTAGACTGTATTTTAACGCAGTCATCATATAGTAAAGAATACAATGGATTAAAAAGTATACCAAAAAGTATCAGTAGGAAATACAGGGTGGCCCAAAGTCGGTAAGGAGTTTAAAATTTTAATAACTTCCTTAATTTTACAGATAAATATGAAATTTTAATACAATCTAAAGGAGATAATAGAGATTAATTTGCACTAGTCAATTTTTGTCACACTTCTACATTATGTATGAAAAATGACATCTTTTAAATGAGGACTACCCATGCTCTTTCCATAATTTACATCATAAGTTCAAGTATTTCAGGCACTACTTCCCTGATTTCTCTATTGATGTTCTCCTTCAGTTGCTCCAGGGTCTCCAGTTTGTTGACATAAACGTTCTCTTTCAGGTACCCCCACAAGAAGAAGTCAGAGTTAGTCAAGTCTGGAATAGAATGGCCAGTTGATATGGCTGTAGCAGGATATTATTCTCTCTCAAAGCAGTACTGTAGCAACTGCATTGTCTCTCTTGCAGTTGCCCCGTCCTTCTGGAACCACATGTCAGGCCTATTTCAAATGGCCAGGTGCAAAAAGTTCTCAAGCACAATCCTGTACTGTTCATCAGTCACAGTGACAGTATTCCCATTATTGTCCTCAAAGAAACAAGGACTGATTATATCATCTGCTGTCAATCCACACCATACTATACACTTTACAGATTGCAATTCTCATTGGTGTAACATTCTTGGGTTCTCAGAGCCCCGAAAATGGCAATTTTGTTTGTTGATGAACCCATTCAATTGGAAGTGGACTTCATCACTCATCATCAAATTCTGGGTAAAATTTTGGACATTTTTTGCAATTCCTGGACTCTGACAGCATATTGGAGCCTATGTTCATAGTCTTAGGATTTGAATTCTAAATAGCAAACAAACTGGACAGGATACTTTAAATGAAACATAAAAATTACAACAAAACATAAACATTGATTAATTATTAATTCATCAAAAATGACAGAGGCAGAAGTAATGAAAAAAGAAAAATGAAACTGTTGTTATGAACAGAAGGGTGGATGAAGGTCAGTTTAGGTGGTGAGAGTTCAAATGTTGAGTTATGAAAGTGATTTGCCAACCACTTCAAGGGATGGAAATGTATTTAATATTCTTGCATTTATAACATCACTTATGATCTAAGAGACTAAACAAAAATTGATATAGTGATTTGTCTGCTTTGTGGTTATCAAGTAGGTGTAATTTTTTTAACATTTTTTTCTTTTTTTTAACAAATGATTTATTAAAAATTGCATCTAAGCCACTACAAAGCTCTTAAGATCATAAATACAATTATACTAAATATCTTCCCAAACTTTAAAATGACCAGCAAATTGCCTTGAAAACAGGATCTTTGAACTTTCACCACAAATGCTGTTGTCATGACCATTTTAAGTTTCTTTTTCATTACTACTGTACTAAAGTTCTTGTTGAATGAATAACTCAGGAAAAGATTATGGTTTCTTGGTACCATAAGCTTAATTTCAACAATAAAACAGAAGTTTAGTAATATTAATATGTGTGATGATAAGTGGTAATTGGCAACTTAATCAGATTAGTCTTCTCTAATCTGATTAAGTTGTCAATGAAAGTATGGTTCAGCTTTACACAACCTGCCTCTCCCCTATTCCTATTTTCAGCTGTCTTATTCAACACCTAAGGTCAAAATTTGTCATCTGAAAGAGTATTTGAATCAATTCTTTCTTTTCATTTTAAAATATTTCATATGTAATTAATTGTTTCAGAATATTGAAGGCAAGACATTATGTTTTTGTAAGATTTGTTACAGACAATAGCATCCACTATTTAGAGGTAAATATAATAGATGTCCTACTTGAAAGGGGATTGTAAAAATGTCTGTTAAGTAGAAGTGTCTGCTATACAGGAGTGTTAACAGAGTTTTCACTGCATATAAAAAACTTCAGAAAGCACATTTTAAAAGTCAACACTTTTGCAGGAGATGCCATATCATATACGAAACTACAACATAACACATTGGATCCTTTGGCACATACCCTGACTTTTTCTATTTGACAGTTGCTTCAATGCCCATGCGATCTCTTCTTCTAGGATATCTGGCTCCTGCTCTGTTAAAACTTCCCTCAATTGATGTTGGATTCCCATATTATTTGCATACAGATTTGCTATATACTCTCGCCATCTCCATTTGATCTCTTCCAGCTCCTGCAAATCTCTGCCAGTCTGATCTTTGATTGTTGGCACCTTCTGCAGTGCAAACGTAGTCCTCATCTGTTCCACATGATTGAATAAACCTTGAGTGTGACCATGTCTGTTCGCTTTTTCCATTTCTGCACACCATTCATTCCAGTATCTCTCTTTGTCCTTCCTCACTTCTCTTTGAAATTCTCTTTGTCCTTCCACATTTAACCATTTGAATACATCTTGATTACCAGCGGCTTTGGTTGCATGACATCTCTGAGATTTTGATGGTTGCTGACGACAGCCATTTGGTCTTCTTTGTAGGTTTTTTGTATGGGACATAATGCTTGGCTGTCTCAGTGATAGTGCATTTCATTTTTTCCCATAAATCATTTGGTTCTTGCTTAACAGTGTCCAGCAGTGTAAACCAATTACCGATTTCGACTCATATGTAGATGGAATTCTATTGGTATTGAACTTCTGCACCAGTAAGAGCTTTTTTATTTTCCCAAGACGTATCTTAATTTTGGCAACCAAGAGCTGATGGTCAGATCCACAGTCAGCTCCTGGAAATGTCTTTGTTGATAAAACTGAGTTCCGCCATTTTTGGTCACATAGGACATAATCGATCTGGTTCCAGTGAGTTCCAGTGGAAGATGTCCAGGGCCATGTTCACTAACATAGAACACCTCAGTTAGAATTCTGAGTGGCATAGTGGGTGGAGCTAAGAATATTCCAAGCATCATTGAATGATTATTCTTAGACAACTGGGAAAAATGTGGACGAAGTTAAAATTATGATTGCAAGAATTGTTGCAAATGAACTGGTCAAAAGGATTGAAGTAACCAATATAATTACTCAAATCAAGGCTGCATCAGATCATGATGAAATTAATGAAGCAACTATTAATTGTAATCAACAAAATGGACTGCTATCTTCCATTAAAATGTATTCAGAATCTGTTATACCTACATATGATAATTTTACATTTCAAAGTCATTTTAGAATGAGTTATATTAATGATTTAGAATAAGAGAATAACTTTGTGATTGTTATGATAAAATATATATAGTCCAACATGAGCAGCCATCTTGCAAATCATACGATAAGACAAAAACAATGACATCACTAGTAGAAGTTAGCATAGATAAAAGAAGCTGACTAAACTAGCTAGAATTCTAGCAGTGGAAGGAGTCAAGCAATAGTTAGAAATGAGTTCAGTATTGCAGCATAACTAGCCTTAGCAAGAATCCTGCATTATTGAACATGACCCAGGTATACAGATAACATTTCAGTAGTCCAGTGGTGTACTGTGGGTGTCAGCCGCCCCGGGCGGAGGAAAATTTCGGCCCCCCTTATTTAGGTATTTCAATTTAAAAGACCAAAATTTAGTTTTGTCACAGAACAAGCAATGAAAAATTTGGTGGTAGTGCAGCGACCTGTTTAAAATAGCTTTATTGGATATTAGTGGTGTATATGAACGTGAAGGAATCGTACAAGCAAAAAAAAAAAAAAGGTTAACAGGTTTCGCAGGATTTCCTTGGATAAAAAATTACTAGTTCACCCGGACGGCGAACCGATTCCTGGACTGTCCGGACGATAGCACTATTGTAAACGTGATGCAAGAATAGATTAGGATGTTTCAAATTTTTACAAGATATTATTATTATTTATTGTGAAATTTTGCCACCCCCTAAAAAGTGCCGCCCCCATTATGGTACGCCACTGCAGTAGTCCAAACCACAAGTTCATGGCAGTTAAACAGTTCTCCTGGCAGAATTCCACCAGTGGTCAACTGAATCATTCCACTCTCCAAGTGCTATAATGAATCAAATGCATCTGTGAAATGTGGCTGTATGCCATATTTATTGTAAATATTAATTTAAGTTAGTTTTAGTTTTCTTTGTTTCTTCTTCCATTTAGAACTTTCCTTTATAATCCTTTTCCCTGGGTGGGATGACCAGTTCCAAGAAATGAGGTGAACAAAGGAGAGAACAAGACCCTAAGGTCAAAAAGACAACAGGAAGCAAGTCATTCTTTGCCAAGACTTGGAAGTATATGGACGTGATATAGAGCACTCTGGGTTGCGTTAGCAATAACCAGAGATTTTAGAAAGAAGTCTAAGGAAAGGATTCTGTCTTATCATAGTGGCAATGAGACAGTGCAAAAACTAAGTATAAGAAAAGAAGACAAGGATAGGATTTTATTGAAAAAGACAACAACAGGTCATCTATATAAGAATTGCGTGTGACATCCCATCCAACAATAGGCAGAGTGAAATACACCGAAAGACTTCTTCTACTATAAACTATTACTTATATCTTCCTAAATCTATCCTTTTCTATCTTTAGTAGTAAGTTAGTATATAAGATTAGTTTTAAGGTTTCAGGTCTGATCATATTGTCGCAATCAGGATATATATATGCTTTGGATTTATCAAACTACTGTTCGTGCCATAATTTTGTACAATATAGTATTGTACCATGACGTTGGAATCCCTAATAAGAATCTGTATTAAAACATGAAATAAATTACTTGTGAAAATATACCATCTTATCATATCTTGTCTACCTTTGTGGTTAACTCTAATTTCACATGAACATCACAGAAAAATATAGGTTATCAGATATTTTCAATTAGCAGTTGCCAACAGCATTTCAAAAGTAGCCAAAAATTGCCAAAGGCTTGTCAAAAATAGCCAAAAAAGTGGTCACATTATTGTTTTAAAAAGTATAATTTGAATGATATAAAATTAAGCATGCATAATTCTGATCGCATTTTGTTTCTCTATGATATACCGATAATTATAATTTTAAAGCACATCAAAAAAGACCAACAAAATGGCAAATAATTAACTCTAGTACATAGCAAAGTAAGAATTACATAATGTTATTCATAACTAGTAGCCCGGGACGCCCCCTAGTGGACGTTCTTTACAAATTTCCATGAGGCACGGTTCCTTTGACTTTTTTGTTCCTATCAATATGCTCTACAGCTCTGTTAAAGTCCGAATGGTAAGATTTACCCTCCGAATGAAGAGGTGGCGACCCCCCAAACCGTAGACCCTTGTACTAACAATAAACTCAAAGGAACCGTACCCCTACTCGCGACCCTTCGAGAGATATAAGCCCCTGAAATAATAAATTCCTATTACAAATATACTGAATTATTTATATTGTTATATTGACCAAATAATAATTTATTGGTTAAATGAATAGTAAAAATTTATATTGTTAATTTAAATAAGAATTAAAATTGTTAATTTGAATGTTTGAAATATGACACACAATAGGGAAGCCTCTAGTGTCCGTTATCAAACGGTTACGGGACAGACGGACACGTTGAATGGGTTATATATATAGATGCTGTCTGTTCCTTTCATATTGGTTTTTATTCTGGAGTCATACTCTAAAACAACATGTAGGCCATGGCCTATATATGAGAAGTTTTAGGACATCACCAAAAAGTCAACATTCCTTTACAACTTTTGCTTTTGCTTTTGCTTATACATGAGGTCAGACTCTAGTTTTAGATAAATTGAAATAGTGATAATAAAAATCAAATTTCTGATTACAATGAATACTTTTTCTATGTTTTTTATTATATATTGTATTTTATTTTATTTCTATGTATTTTATTACTCAACATGTAATGATTTGAACATCACTATAACTTCAATTAACAATTGAACATCACAAAAAATACAACAAATGTAGCTTACAACAAATGGAGACATTCTCCTTTGTCCTGAAGAATGGATTTGTGAAACTGGACGAAACATCTGCACTGTTATTAAAATATCTGGAGCTTTTACAGTATCGCTTGAAGTCTGTGTTAGCTGAGATGATTTTTGGGATGATTTCTAAAACAGATATAATATATATTATTGTAATAACATTTAAAAAATATTATAATTAAATTTAAAATAATATTTAATAAAATTTTAATAATTTATTTTATGAGGAAATGTCTAAGTCACAGAAAAATAAAACATTTCTAATGGAAGTAATAGGTTTTTCAATATGTAGCACAATCTAAGTTAATGACAGCCTAGGTGGCCAATGCCCAAGTATAATTAGTGGCTGATTTTAGCAGTCTCAGAATTCAAGAAGTATGATAGAGTAGTATGATGTTGTTTATCTATGGGTAAAAAGATTTCTTGTAAAGGAAAGTCAAAACGAAATATTTCCCAGTTATAGTGAGAAATGTTTGTCATATAAAGTAGTTCACAATTGAATCCAGAAATTCACACTAGGACATTCATTTGAAGATTCATCTGATATTCTGCTAAGATTGCAACAGAAGCAACTGTGAATCCAACAGCATAGATGATATGTAGGGTCTCTATTAAAGAATATTGAGTCTCTATTTATAGCACTTCTTTATAAAGTGTTAGTTTCGGTTTCAGAGGTGGCAGATGGAACATTTTGCTTTTAATATATAGAATATAGGATAGATATAGATAAAAGAGTACAAAGCACAAAGTAAGATTAGTGTGTTCTTGTTTCAAACCAACCAAGGGTAAGAATAGTGTGGAAAAATTGAAACAATGTATAAAACAATCATAAAAGACAGATTTGTACAGTTTTACACATGAAGATATGTAAAATGTCTAGCTAATTAAAAAAAAAAAAAAAAAAAATATTCCATCGTCTGATAAGTTGGCATATTTGATGACCTGGCACCATGTCAATCATGATGATATTGGGTTAATGGAATGTCATTGTATTTTAATATTGTTTTTTATTTTTATTTTGTATTCATGGGCGTAGCCAGAGTTTTGTTATGGGGGGGCCTAGTGGAGGCCAACCTGACACAAAATTGAATTATTTCAAATTATTGTTCATTATTGGGCACCGAGCAAGCCGTTCACCTTTTTTTTAGTATTCAAAACTTTTATTTTAGCTTTAGGTGTTTACAAATCGACTCAACACTTTTTCGGCTGTGATTTCCTGGGGGGNTTATCATCAAATAGTTTATATCCATCTGAGAAGTGAGATACGCTTATCAGATAGATGAAAACTCTCTTTTGTGGGTATAAAGTTTATTCAACATAACGTAATTACTGTGCAATCAATGAGATAACGACCTGCTCTTACAATACACTTATTTCTTTCACTTTAACATTTTCCGAAATAGAATCTATATCCAACTGTAAAATTCATGCACACGTAACATAATAAAATTCTCATGCTCCTTTTTGTTTAATTTTGAATTAACGCAAGCCTATTTGGTTCGACTTTAACAGCGAACATTTTCTCATATTACTGAATACTGGTCGTGGGTTTGCGCCCTACCAACAGACTGGCTTTGCTGAGTTTTCCAGTATTTATTGGCGTGACTGACACCTAAATAGGGTGAGTTTCTCGTAAACTTCTCTCACAGATAGTCTATCAAGAGGTTTCAAGAAATGTAGGCGCCCCTCCGAATTGTTTTTGTGTTGTATACATGGGCGTAGCCAGAGTTTTGTTATGGGGGGCCTAGTGGAGGCCAACCTGACACAAAATTGAATTATTTCAAATTATTGTTCATTATTGGGCACCGAGCAAGCCGTTCACCTTTTTTTTAGTATTCAAAACTTTTATTTTAGCTTTAGGTGTTTACAAATCGACTCAACACTTTTTTGGCTATGATTTCCTGGGGGCACCAGGTTCCCTGGGAGGGGCCGTGCCCACCCAGGCTCCCCCTCGCTACGCCCATGTTTATATTATAAATAAACAATTAAAACATTATTTCTCATTCTTTTTAATAACTGAATTCTGACTTTCACAAGAATAATGAAACTAATTATCTAAATATCAATAATAGTAATGTGAATATAATTATCATTTTCATATATATTTCATATTTAATTTTAAGAAAAATTTTTATAAAAATTTACAAATATTAACATAAAATAATCATCATATTTCCTTACTTTTGATAAGTAATTTATATCACCAATCATATTCTTATAGTATAAATTATCTGTTGCCATTTTCATTTCTAGTTTCTGTTTTTGCAATCTAGAAAGATTTATATAATTAATAAATTAAAATTAACAAAAAATTTAAACAGTGCCACCATAAAATAAAAAATAAAAAAATTAATAAGAATACTTATTTCTAGTATTTCAAATATAATGCATATAGTTATAAAATTTTTCATGCTTATAATAAACAAAAATATAACTTTGTAAAAATTATTACAATGGTTGTCAAACTACAGGATGTGCTTCCTTAGTAGAGCAAAAGATCCTTTCTAGGCAGATGTGAAGAATAGTTATTACAGTTATGATTACAATGCAGTCATTATATCATCAAAATTTAATTTCATATAGTGATTAGTATCTCCCATGTGCTATTTTACTTTTTACTTTGTTTGAAGAACAAAATAAAAACATATTGAACATATATGAACATGTTGAAAATAACAACATACAAACTTTTCCTAATATTTAATCCAGTAGTCATTTGGCATGTTACTAATATATCAGATTTCAAAGATGTTCATGTGAGAACCCAGACTGAGTAAAGAAAAAAGGAAACAATTACGGAATGACTTTATTGGTATGTCAGCTTTCTGACCTGAAAGAGTTTTGACTTATGCTTTCTCAGCATCAGAAGTGACACCTTTCCCGTGACCTCTCCAAGGTATTTCTGCTGTTTTAATATACAACTAACGGCTGATTCAAGGAGTCATTGCCAATTCCTCCAACAGTCTAGTCGTGTCCGAGTATCATGTACTTCATCTATGGATAGATTGCTTAGTTCATGTATGGATACTCACTTATGGATGCTCCCTCACCTACTATTTTGCATTCTGAAGACAAATTAGTGTGTGTGATTTAGAATTCTGCCTAAATGATCCTTGATCTTCCAGTCAACGAGCATCAAACCCTCCTATGTAAAGCAATAGCCTCCACAACAAGGTATTTAACAACCCTCAAACCATTGTGAACGCTCTCTCTCATGTTTACTGATTCGTGACTAAAAGGACTTGTTAGAATGTATAATCCTCTATATTAATTGTTAGAATACAGTGGGTGATTGGTTAACGAACATAATCCATTCCAAGACTTTGTTCGCTAACTGATTATTGATTTACAATATGTTTTTATGGGAATTTGATTAATTTGTTCTGAAGACCCCAAAAAATAAAAAACATACACTTTCTTACTACGTTTATTTATATGTAATAATAAAAATACATATATACACAGTCTTGCATTTTTATTAGTCATGTTTTTTTCGTTTGTGGGGGTTACAGAGAAGTCTAATGTCAATTACTTTTCTCTCTTCTTCAAGATTTTTCAGAAGTAATGAATAGCATTGCAATTGTAGAGATCCCTAAGCCTATTAATCTCAACCTGGTTTAGATGACATTCTAAGACCATCATTCTGACATCATCCCACTTCTTCAAAAAAATGTTTAATAGCAGATATCAACATTAATTCTTTTTTTCAGAAAAAAACATATCTCGCCGAGTTTATTGGTGTTCTTCATTCAAGAGTCCTTGGCATTCTTCTGTTGTCAGATCTGTTTCAGGTTCCATTGTGAGCTCTTCAATGTTCTTTATTTCTCAGATGTCATTTTTCTTACTCCTTAAGCTGCTTGAGTCATGTATCTTTCTTAGATAAGATTGAACTGCAGCCTACTGTAGACCTGCTCAAACCATACTGTGCAGCAACAACAGATATTAGACAACTGCCCACTCTCTACATTTGCTATTATACTCTCATCTTTTAAAAATAAAAACCCATGCGAAACTTAACGAGTGCCTGCCCGACAGTCTCGCAAATACTATAAAAAAATTGTTTCTGTCAGAAAAATAAAAGGCTGGAATTACAAGGGTGTGTTTCAAAGTTTGGAGGAATACTATCTGATTAGTATATACCGGATTGAGCGTTGATGTTGTCTCCCACACTCTGAAAAGTTTTGAATTGTTGCCTGAAGACAAGGGAAAACCAATCAGTATTTGTTATTTTACATCACTTCTTTTTGTGTTTGTTCTGTGAGGTGTTCATTATCTGATCATGTGTTCGTTGTCCGAACATAAAAATGTTTTGCGAAAGTGTTCATTATCCAAACATAAAAATCTTTCGTGAAAGTGTTCGTTATCCGATTTGTTCATTAACCGATCACACATTGAATATAATTCTCTATATTAATAAATAGATTTTTGTTTTGTTAAATCTCTGGTGAGTGCAATTCTTTCTGTTGTGCTGTCACTGAACCTCATCCATCCCGAGCCTGAATGCATATGCATGCAACCATTCACATGACCTAACAATAAATGGCCATAGCAATTTCCGTGTCTTCTGGAAAAGATACAATAGTGTCAGTTCTGACATTAGNTTTGTTTTGTTAAATCTCTGGTGAGTGCAATTCTTTCTGTTGTGCTGTCACTGAACCTCATCCATCCCGAGCCTGAATGCATATGCATGCAACCATTCACATGACCTAACAATAAATGGCCATAGCAATTTCCGTGTCTTCTGGAAAAGATACAATAGTGTCAGTTCTGACATTAGCATCAACAATGGGGTGCTGACCCTTTGGTCAAGTGGTGCAGAAGCAATAAGGGGCATTTTGCGCATTATCACATTCATATATCTATTTCAAATATGCATTTTAAAGCTATCTTTCAATGTTAATATTTTTTTGAATAAAAAAAACAAACTTGTTAAAAACAAATTATATATGTTTCACAAATAATCTTTCAATAACATTAAAATTATCATTTTCAGGTGTCTACAATAAAAGAATAGAATAAGAACATTTACTGTCAATTTAAAATAATTTTTGATTTCTTAAAAACAATATCAAATACACATGCCATATTAATATACAGTAGTGTATCAATTATCTGAAGTAATCAGAACAAAACAATTTCAGTTGACCAATAACATTTGATAGGGAAGGAATAAAAAGATAAAAATCTTAAATCAAATAAAAGTATTAATTTTAATTCTAACACAATAATAAGGTACAGAGGTACCTCAGGTTACGAACGCCCCAGCATACGAAATTTTCAGGATACGACATGAAATTCGAACATATTTTTGCTCCACGATACGAACAAAAACTCACCATACGACGTTACATTAGTTCGCATTTTTCATTTGTTTTTCTTACTACAGTTATTTTTTTAAATGTATTACTTGGCTTTAATTTGAGTATGTTTTTCGCGTTGGAACGAATTATTTGGTTTTACATGTAATCGTATGGGAAAAGATGATTCACCTTACGACATTTTCATGATACGATCTCAGTTTCGGAACGGATTAATTTCGTATCCTGAGGTACCACTGTATTAATATTAGAAGGTTGGAAAATGGTTTAATTTTTAGTATATATCATAAGTAGAACTAGGACAACTAGGCATTAGAAATCCTATAAATAGTTATAAAACTTGTAACTTATGACAGCCAGATGGCCAAGTGGTTAATTAAGATGTCAGCCTACTGTTCTGGGGATCCAAGAATGAATCCAGGACAGGTTGACAAACACCAGAAATTGTTCAGATGGTCTGTTCCAGATATACTGAGCCTCATCTCTCTTCACCTGACTGCCCCAATGTGGCTTGGCTGAATCCACAATGGGCTTGATTAAAAGGCTCTCTTAGTGCCCATAAGGTGGAAAGAGTGAGAAAAAAAAACTGATAACTTACATGGTTTTTTGTGCCTAGATGTCCTAGTTTTAATATTAAGTTTAATAAAGAATTCATAATCATTCCTGTTCTTTCCATCCTTCATTCTATAAAAACACCATCTATTTCTGCCATAATTCATAGATTACCTTTCTTTTTTCTACCAGAGATGATAAAGATGTTGAAGTAAAATATACCGTATCAACTATTTTAAATGAAAATTATTCAAACAAACAGTGTTACATTCACTTTAGCCTGTTTACAAAATAGGCACTAAAACAAAGTTATCATCTGTCAAGTCATCTATTTCCTACATATGAAATGTTTCCATACAATTGATAAAATTATTCCATAGAGCAAATTTTATCTTACACATTCATCCTCAAGCCCAATTTGATAAAGTTGAGAAATTTCTATTATCATTTAGATGATAATAGAAATTTTTCAATTTTTCAATAATAGAAAAGTCTAGCATCTACAAAAGCCTCATATAGGGAAGTTTCATATGACATAGCAAAGCTCCTTAAGTAGGTAATGTTAAGTAGGTATCAATAGAAAGATGATCAGCGCATACATTGCAAATAACTGAATAAATAACCAGATTATACAAAATCTATCCTAAATAGAATAAACAAAGTCCAAGTCAGAGACTACAAATTATTATTATTGAATCCAAATTTGTTGGCTTTAAACTAACTATCCAATAGCTTAAACCAGCAGTTCCAACCTTTTCTACAGTATGCCCCTATCGGGGATTGCATGCAATGTTGCCTCCTCCACATACACAGCATTTATTGCTCTGTATTCAGCATTGATTTATTTTTTATTACAAATTAAATGATACCAGTAAGGTGTGATTGAAAGTATAAAGCAAAAATACAATTGCACTACTAAAAATACAAATATACCTAATTACAGCACTTTGACCAAATAAAATGTCTGTACATAGTTTACAACCAGCAGTTTATTCCTTCTGAATAAAGTTATAATTAAAAAACTGTTTTCTATATTTTCATAAACTATAAACATCAATTTGAAGTCAAACAACCACCAGATTACATGGGTTACTTTTCTGTGATTATATTTAATCAATTACTAAATAATTTGTTTCTAAAGAGATATGTCAGGTATCATCTCTTATTAAATTCAATAATTATTATTAAATTAATATTTATTAAATAATTTAGAATATTCCAGAAGAAAAGAATTGGCCTGGAGAGAGACTCGAACCTGCAACTCCTGCTTATCATACAGATGCATTGTCAGCTATGCTATCTGAGCCTCCAGTCTCATCTTCTCTTCCAGATACATTTAAATATGATATAATCATCCTCAGTTACACATGGTGCCAGCTGGGGACCCTTCAGTGCCCTC